TCATATATGCGGGCATAAAAGGTCTACAAATTACCTAATTCTTGCAATCTTGGTGTCCTCGGCAAGGGCACATGTTCCTCTATCTATCGATATAAGTTTTATATCCATGTTTGCAGTAGTTAGGAAAATATCTGAAAAAGAATGTGCGAGTTTTATTAAGAGTGCTTGAAATTTTTCGTAATTCTAGCTTTGCCTGCCCTATAAAGGTCCTGTTCCGCTCTACATATGCGCGCATAAAAGGTCTACAAATTATCTAAAACTTTCAATCGTGGTGTCATCTGAAAGGGCACATGTTCCTCTATCTATTCATGTAATATTGATATTCATATTTGCAGCAGTTAGGAAAATATCTGCAAAAGAAAGTGTGAGTTTTCTTTTGACTGCTTGACATTTTTGCGTGATTCTAGCTTTGCCTGAGCTATACCGGTTCTTTTCAACTGCATATATGCGATCATAAAATTTCCACAAATTATTTTAAACTTTCAATCTTGGTTTCATCTAAAAGGGCACATTTTCCCTATCTATTTACTTAAGTTTCAAGTTTTCCTCTGACTGCTTGAAATGTTTGCGTGATTCTAGCCTTCGCTATAAAGGTCCTGTTTCGCACAGAGAATGCTTCATATATTCGAACATAAAAGGTCTACAAAATATCTAAAACTTTCAATCGTGATGTCATCTGAGAGGGCACATGTTCCTCTATCTATTCATATAAGTTTCATATCCATATGTGCAATAGTTAGGAAAATATCTTCAAAAGAAAGTGCGAGTTTTCCTCTGACTGCTTGAAATTTTTGCGTGATTCTGGCTTTGCCTGCCCTATAAAGGTCCTGTTCCGCTTCATATACGCGAGCATAAAAGGTCTACGAATTATCTAAAACTTTCAATCTTGGTGTCATCTTCAAGGGCACATGTTCTTCTATCTATTCATATAAGGTTCATATCCATATGTGCAGTAGTTAGGAAAATATCTTCAAGAGTAAGTGCGGGATTTGTTCTGACTGCTTGAAATAATTGCGTTATTCTAGCCTTCGCTATAAAGGTCCTGTTCCGCACAGAGAATACTACATAGATGCGAGCATAAAAGGTCTACAAATTACCTAATTCTTGCAATCGTGGTTTCATCTGAAAGGGCACATGTTCCTCTATCTATTCATATAAGTTTCATATCCATATGTGCAGAAGTTCGGAAAATATCTTCAAAAGAAAGTGCGAGATTTTTTCTGACTGCTTGAAATAATTGCGTAATTGTAGCCTTCGCTATAAAAGTCCTGTTCACCACAGAGAATGCTACATATATGCGAGCATAAAAGGTCTACAAATTACCTAATTCTTGCAATATTGTTTTCATCTAAAAGGGCACATGTTCCTCTATCTAGTCATGTAAGTTTGATATTTATATTTGCAGTAGTTAGTAAAATATCTTCAAAAGAAAGGGCGAGTTTTCTTCTGACTGTTTGAAATTTTTACGTGATTCTGGCTTTGCCTGCCCTATACCGATTCAGTTCCGCTAAATATATGCAAGCATAAAAGGTCTACAAATTACCTAATTCTTGCAATCTTCATTTCATCTGAAAGGGCACATGTTCCTGTAGCTATTCATGTAAGTTTGATATTCATATTTGCAGTGTTTAGTAAAATATCTTCAAAAGAAAGTGCGAGATTTTTTCTGACTGCTTGAAATAATTGCGTGATTCTAGCCTTCGCTATAAAAGTCCTGTTCCGCACAGAGAATGCTACATATATGCGAGCATAAAAGGTCTACAAATTACCTAATTCTTGCTATCGTGGTTTCATCTGAAAGGGCACATGTTCCTCTATCTACTCATATAAGTTTCATATCCATATTTGCAGTAGTTAGGAATATGTCTGCAAAAGAAAGTGCGAGTTTTCTTCTGACTGCTTGAAATTTTTGCGTGATTCTGGCTTTGCCTGCGCTATACCGGTTCTGTTCCACTACATATAAGCGACCATAAAAGGTCTACTAATTACCTAATTCTTGCAATCTTGGTTTCATCTGAAAGGGCACATGTTGCTCTATCTATTCATGTAAGTTTGATATTCATATTTGCAGTAGTTAGTAAAATATCTTCAAAAGAAAGTGCGAGTTCTCTTCTGACTGCTTGAAATTTTTGCGTGATTCTGGCTTTGCCTGAGCTATAACACTCATGTTCGGCACGGAGAATGCTTCATATAGGCGAGCATAAAAGGTCTACAAATTATCTAAAACTTTCACTCTTGGTGTCATCGGCAAGGGCACATGTTTCTCTATCTATTGATATAATTTTCATATCCGTATTTGCAGTATTTAGGAAAATATTTGAAAAAGAAAATGTGAGTTTCCTTCTGACTGCTTGAAATGATTGCGTGATTCTAGCTTTGATTTTGCTATAAAGGTCCTGTTCCGCACAGAGAATGCTTCATATATTCGAGCAGAAAAGGTCTACAAATTATCTAAATCTTGCTATCGTGGTTTCATCTGAAAGGGCACATGTTCCTCTATCTATTCATATAAGTTTCATATCCATATTTGTAGTAGTTAGGAATATGTCTGCAAAAGAAAGTGCGAGATTTCTTCTGACTGTTTGAAATTTTTGCGTGATTCTGGCTTTGCCTGCGCTGTGAAGGTCATGCTCGGCACAGAGAATGCTTCATATAGGCGAGCATAAAAGTCTAGAAATTATCTAAATCTTGCAATCTTGGTTTGATCTGAAAGGGCACATGTTTTTCTATCTATTCATGTAAGTTTAATATTCATATTTGCAGTAGTTAGTAAAATATCTGCAAAAAAAGTGCGAGTTCTATTCTGACTGCTAGAAATCTTTCCAGGATTCTGGCTTTGCCTGCACTATCACGGTCATGCTCCGCACGGAGAATGCTTCAAATATGCGAGAATAAAAGGTCTACAAGTTACCTAATTCTTGCAATTTTCCTTTCATCTGAACGAGCACATGTTCCTCTATCTATTCATGTAAGTTTCATATTCATATTCGCAGTAGTTAGGAAAATATCTGCGAAAGAAAGTGCGAGTTTTATTCAGAGTGCTTAAAATTTTTGCGTAATTCTTGCTTTGCCTGTACTATGAAGGGCCTTCTCAGCACAGAGAATGCTTCATATATGCGAGCATAAAAGGTCTACAAATTATCTAAATCTTTCAATCTTGGTGTCATCTGAACGGGCACATGCTCCTCTATCTATTCATATAGGTTTCATATCCATATTTGTAGTAGTTAGGAAAATATCTCCAAAAAAAAGTGCGAGTTTTCTTCTGACTCCTTGATATTTTTACGGAATTCTGGCTTTACGCTATACCGCTTCTGTTCCGCACGGAGAATGCTTCATATATGCGAGCATAAAAGGTCTCAAAATTATCTAAATCTTGCAATCTTGGTTTCATCTGAAAGGGCACATGTTTTTCTATCTCTTCATGTAAGTTTCATATTCATATTTGCAGTAGTTAGTAAAATATCTGCAAAAGCATGTGCATGTCCTTATCTGACTGCTTGATATTTTTGCGGAATTCTGGCTTTGCGCTATTCCGGTTCTGTTTTGCACGGAGAGTGCTATATATATGCGAGCATAAAAGGTCTCAAAATTATCTAAATGTTGCAATCTTGGTGTCATCGGCAAGGGCACATGTTCCTCTATCTATTCTTATAAATTTCATATCCATATTTGCAGTAGTTAGGAAAATATCCTGAAAAGGTTTGATATTTTTGCGTAATTCCATCTATGTCTGTGCTACACCGGTCCCGTTCCGCACGGAGAATGCTTCATGTATTCGAGCATAAAAGGTCTAACAATTATTTAAATCTTGCAATCTTGGTGTTATCTGAAAGGGCACATGTTCCTCTATTTATTCATATCAGTTTCATGTCCATAAAAGGTCTAAAAGTTATCTACATCTTGCAATCTTGGTGTCATCTGAACGAGCACATGTTCCTCTATCTATTCATGTAAGTTTCATATTCATATTCGCAGTAGTTAGGAAAATATCTGCGAAAGAAAGTGCGAGTTTTATTCAGAGTGCTTAAAATTTTTGCGTAATTCTTGCTTTGCCTGTACTATGAAGGGCCTTCTCAGCACAGAGAATGCTTCATATATGCGAGCATAAAAGGTCTAAAAGTTATCTACATCTTGCAATCTTGGTGTCATCTGAACGTGTACATGTTCCTCTATCTATTCATATCAGTTTCATATCCATATTTGCAGTAGTTAGGAAATATCTGCAAAAGAAAGCGAGAGTTCTTGTCCAACTGCCTCCTACTTTTGCGTAATTCTGGCATTGGCTGCGCTATACCGGGTCCTGTTCTCGTACAGAGAATGCTTCTTATATATGTCAGAATGCATGCGCATAAAGAGCCACACATGAACAAAAAGCGTGTGCGCCCCCTTTAAAAATGTATACAGGGGTACAAACTCAGAGGTCTTTTTTCTCAGATCCTTATTCCTAAGAAAACCCTATGCAAATGTCATAACTGTAGTTTTCTTGTCTAAGTTGGTGATACGAATGACACAATATAGAATCATAATATTTATTCCCGTCTTCATATTAAAACAAAATGTTCCGTTGTTCCCCTTGCTGTCTGTGAACAGCCATGCTACAGCGCTTCTGTTGCTTTACAGTTCGCAATGCAGGTGTGCATTTTGTTTGACCAAAATGAGCTCCTCCCTTGTTTGCGCTGTGCCAGCGCGCATGTCACGGCATGGGCTCGGAATTTCCCTAATCAGCGGACGAAGACATGCAGGTTTTACATTCCGATAAATGACGTGTGTTAAGTGTTTTTACATTATAACAAGAAATATGCATTTTCCTTTACTCAACCCCACGAAGTAAATTACAGCAGGCGTTTTGCACTGGTATTTCTAAATAATTAATACATGCTTATTAGATCTAAGAGGCAAATGTTTAAAGTTACAAAATTTTCGAACAAATTTTCCAGTCGAACAACACAAACAAACAGGAACTCCGTTCGGAGACAAATTTTGCATTTTTGGTTTATTTCGTTAGCTGCCTTACATTATGTTTCCGTACCGGTCAGTTTATCTACCTTTTTTCATATTTCTAGAAGCTGTGAACCATTAATGAATGATAAATGAGTTTTCTTGGGAGTCATGGAGTTTGTGTATCCGGCGTGAGTCTACTGCGGTGTAGGGTCCCAGCCGGGCGGAAGTATCCTGATAAAATCCAACGGGCTTTATTTTCAGCCCATGAAAGGCCCTGTTGAGTTTTCCTATTGAGGTGGAATTTTTCATCACCTTTAACAAATTCAGCATGGATCGATCATGCTGAAATCCAGAGCATTTTGCTCCAAGCTGTGGCAGTTACAATCGGAGAGAGACCGCTACTTAAGTAATTTTTTGTAAACTTTCTGTGACACAGCGAATTATGGAAATATGCTTCTTTCTATCACGATTCCTTAATGTAAGACGCTCCATCTGGTTCTGTTTCTAACCGTGGTCCTGGTTGCTGCATCCAAGTAACGGTATGATATTAAGAAAAACAGGGTATAAAAAGCTGTAAGCATACTATGACATTTTTTTGCAAGTGCGTTGAAAAACTGAAGTGCCATGATAATTAAATTATATGCAACAATAAATAAATTGGTAAAAAGTTTGAAGCAACAAAACAGGAATATCCAAAACGAAGAAACAGTAAACGAGCAAACTTGTACAAAACAAATACACCAAAACAAAATAGAGAACCGAATCAATAGGCAAGCGAAACAAAATTAAAAATGATATATATAGAGATAGAGTGCCTAGGTAACAATGATAAAGTACACAAATCAACCGAAAGACTGACAGACATGCAGACTGATCTACAAACAGACCAATTAAAACCACAGTACTGGCAAGCTGACAATTCGGTTAGTTGGTGGCTAGCAAGGCGGCTGGAAAATATACACTATACAGAAAGAAATAAGGGGGGAACACTACGGCATATTATTTTGGCAATGATTGGGATCATTCGGTGACAGGCCGAACTCTGATGAAAGCGTAGAACTTCCAACAATGTGTCAGTTACATCGCTTTACATACTGGTCGGCCCTGGCGAATGAACATGCTTTCGAGGGTTAAAAAAATGATAAGTGAAATTAACCCTAACACTACAGTAGATGGCAAATCATATTGGAATTCGGAGACTGGGGACTGTTCCGGTTAATGGTCTATGTACTGAAAGGGACTTTTATAGATCAGGCCTGCAAAGTATGTTGAAGCTTAAAAAAACCTAACCTTAAAACCCACAATGGAGTATAAAAAAAACTAGCCATCCAACCGACTAACCCAATGGCCAACCAATAAAATAACCAACAAATTATACTGGTCTCATGAAATAAAAGACTAAAACCCACCAACAACAGACTATTTAGGCTACCAAACTAACCAACAGTCAACTAACCAGCAAGCCGTATAAACAGGCGAACAAAACTAAGATAAAAACTCGACAAAACTACCAACATAATAGTCGAACTAAGAAACAATTCAACCATAAGCAAGCTATATCTAAGCAACTATTTAAGAGGAGCGCAAAATAAAAAGTTTCATAAAGTCATGCAAATAAACGTTTCATCAAACGAACAATGTCAAGCCAAGCCAAGAAACCAAATGGGCAACAGAACAAGAACCTAAAAAGAACCAATTTCCATTTTGCCAGAGAACAACAGAAAAACTAAGCATTCATACTCCAAGAAGGAAACCAATCTATTTGGAAAAAAAGTCAGAGAAATAAAGGCATACCGCTTCCAGTAAACATTATGTACAAGGAAGAAAAGAAGGAGGTTTCTAAATAAAATGACTCCAACTGAAATACATGAATGTGTAAGATACGCTTCGAAAAGTGCAAAAACACGATGAAAAAACACATTTTTCCGACCTTCACCGTGAACGAGCCAGGATCAAACCAGATGAATGCGTCACCAAGAATTTCCTAACTTGTTGAAAATCTAGTATTTCCTGATTTGTACCATGAGACATTAAACGAACCGTCTAACCAATACCGACTGTAGGTAGGTATTCCAAGAAGCATCATGTGTATCTATAATGGATTTTTATTGCCTAATTCATTCTCAGAACTAAAAGTATTAAGCAGCTTTCTGACTTCATTTGTAGTTGAAGGGCCGTTGTGGTAATAAGTGCAATCGTTCTTGGTGTTCTACCAGTTATTCATGCCGGCGCACGCGGCCATCTTTTGGAAGAACTCCTTGTTCTGTTGCAGGATTTCCTCCTGCATGTCCTCTGGCACAAGGTCCAAGATCTAGAAGTTGAGGAGACAAAAGGAGGAAGGAAGAAAGTGAAACAAACAAAAAACAGGGGCAGGGCTCAAAGAAGGACAGACAAAAATAATGTGCGGGGACAAACTCCAAATTGGACTGACAAGAAAGGCGATAATCTTGATGTCAATAACTAGGTCAAACTGGAACAGAAATAAAAATGCAACTGAAAGTATGCAATTTCAGTAATATTATAATACTTTAAATAAGTAATTGTAATCATCAACATCAGTATGTTAATTTTCATTAACTGGAGCAATCTGATTGTTTTTTGCACCATCCAGTATTTCTATAGGTGAACTAAAATTGGCAGTTTGTGTGCCTTTGACGTGTAAAAGACGTTGTACTTGCAGTGTATTACCCAAGCTAATCATAAGCGAAGGTTTGTTAATTCACCTCATCCTGTTCCATGCAGTCGTTTAGACCCAGGAAGAAAACGTATGGAGAAGGTGCCTTTACGGTCCCCAGGAGTTGACGGGCTTCTGCTCTGGCCTCAGCAAGGTTATTCTGATGGTTGAGAAAAAATGACCACCACATATACTCACTGCACAAAACAGTTGGCGTAAGCACATCTCTATGACGGTCAACATCTAAACTGACGATCACTCATACTGTGATATCATACCCTCCCCTATGCTCATTCAATTTGTGCAGTCTAATTTGTTGCTTCACAATACAGTAAACTGACCTGTACTCTTTCCTTGGCGAGTTCTATGGCCCTTTCTTGCACGGTCTTCCTAGGAGCCGTGAGATCAGGCTGATCCGACGGGAATTTCCCGCCAACAATCATGTTTGCCAGCTGGCCAGACAATCTGGGAAAAAATACAAGAATTCTTTATCGTGAAGAGTGTCGAGGAACTATAGTGACAGAATCGTTCCGAACATTATGACCTGTTGCAGACTATTAAAGATCTATCGAATTGGCACATCAGTTTAATATTTCAAAATTATTAGCTTACCCAGTGTCCACATCGGTGCTTGTGAAAACAGGTGCACTATGAAAAATAAGAAGACAGCTATTTTAGTGATTTTTCGGGAAACTACTTTCGAAATTCAAATTGCGTTTTTCACTATGTAGATGATGAGACATTTATAAAAGTGTTGAAGTTAATTTGTTCCAGTTTCAAAAACGTAAATTATGCAGTTTTTCAAAGTATTGGCGATAATAGCTCTATAATTAGCACAATCGTGTCATTAAAACTACTTGATCAAATATTGATGTCCAAGCACAGTTCTTTAATTTATAAAGAAAGCGCAGGTTTGTTTCATAAAGGACGTTGTAAGAGTTTTGGAGGATAATATCACTTAATGATTCCTGACCTGGTTTCCTCCTGCTTGCCAGAGACGCTGCGTTGGATATACCACGCCGCAGCGAGGCCAATAGTAGCACTAGCTAGTGCTGCAAGGAAGCAGCCAATCTTACTGCAAAACAAAATGGATATTTAGTCCTACTGCATTAATTTTGTGTCTGAGAGCCACCGTTGGCAGAACTTGATTCACGGAGGGAGATTCTCGTAATGTTTAATACGATTAGTTGTGTCCTTTCATCCATTGAGTCTAACGATCGTGATCTTTTCAAGGACAAGCTACCGAGGAAATCACAGAAGCACAATTTGTAATCGTTACTTTTTAGAATGAGGAAACTTACGTCATGTCCTTCTTGTTTCTTGAGTGCAAAGGAACTTTTAACTATCCTAAAATGTCGTAGATCTCAAAGCGGAAAAGCTTGAAACGTCCGTACACTGTGCTGGTGAAGATAGTTCTGGATCTCAAAACAAATTTTCCGTGTATAGTTTCCATGGACGCCAAACGTACAATGACATCTCATAGTGACCGATGACGCAAACAAACGAATGTTTTCGCAAAATTGTTAAAACTTTTACGAACGTAACAATGATGGTCAAGACGCGCGCACTTTCGAAGTTCTCAGGGTAAAAAAGAGGGCGCTTTTTATAAACGTGCTAAGTTTAACCCTAATACAGCAGGGGGCCGGAATCCACCTCCCCCTCCATTTTTCCTGCCTCACCACTGTTTTTTTTTGGGGGGGGAGCTGAGGCGATTTTTTAAAATAACTCTCTGCTGTCATCTTGACACTAATCTTTCTAAATCACGCATGCTGTTCTTGCGCAGCTCGTATTTTGCCGACAGAGACAGGTCAGCCGAACAAAGTGTACTTTTTACTGTGGTGCTCAATGCACGCAGGCTGGCACGCGCCTACATTGGAGCTCTTCAAATGACCGTAACAACAAAACCATCTGATTGAGTTCAAACTTCACATCTGTAATGACAAGGACATGTCTTTACATGCATGCCAAGTTTCGAAAGAAATCTAGTGTGGCACAGCTGAGTTCTTGGGACGGAATCCGCCCCCGGCACAAACTACCGTGCTCTTTAAAGGATATAGGGGTCAACATTGGGAAAAATTGAGTAGTTTGTCAACCACGTTCTCTGATTTGGAAATTAAAATGTGGATTCTGACATTAATTAAATATGCATGCAAATTCAGCCATTGAGCATTTTGACCAGCAAATCAAGATATCAAGGTCCGAGGAAATTTCCTCGTGCGTGGAAAGTTGAAGAAAGGGTCCGTTAGCTACGGCATTTTCTTTGGGGTGTGCCGGAGTACGATTCAGTTTGCCGACTTGTAACTTGTTCGCCAACCTAGTGTGGTGAACTGTGGTACGCTACATTTCATGCTTCGGGGAAATGCCGATGGCAAACGTACATCATTTACAACGTATATACTGATTTTGGATTCATTTGCCTACCGAAGCTCTATTAGCCGACTGGAATTATTTATGGGGGACGCGCGGGTGCCAAACCTCCACACCCCCACCTACGTCGCTACGCCTCGGGGTTGTTAATCAAACACTTGTAGGTGTATGTGACAAGATATTCCACTATCGTTGAGCAACTTTCGTTGCAGACATTTATCACTCTCCTACTCAGAAAAGTTGATGTAAATACTAGCATTTCTGCGTCTAATCCCGTCTTGTTCGAAAAACGCAGTGCCTTAAAACATCGCAACACTAGGCCTTCAGACTATGAAATTGCATGTATTAATTAACGTTGCCTTGTATCATGATCAAAGCGGTCGTCTGTTTATTTGCAGACAAAATAACTTGATCAGAATGTTTCTGATGTTATACAAAGCCAAATAGAAAATATTTCCAAGGTGATTTTTCATCGTCCGATCATCTTGAACAACACACTTACTGGCCTGACTTTTACCGTGGTGGCGCTATCACGATTCCGTTGCTCGCGCACACAGTGTGTTTATATAAGGCATAGAAATCATAACTTATGTAGGCGCGGTAAGCGCGACTGGGGATGTACTGTACCTAGGCCAGACCCTCCTTCGCCGAAATTGAACAAGGGGAAAATATTTTAGAATAAGGTCACCGCCATTTGGCACTCTAAACACACCTCCTGCACAGTTTTAGGGCTTTTTCTCGTGAGAAAAAAATTGTGGCTCGGCAAGTTAGCTGCGTATTTTCTTGTAACTAGTATCAGTCATCCTGTTTCCATCCAAGTCATCCTTCAAAATCATTTCACCAAACAGATTTTACCGGAACTTGTATCAACTACCTCCATGTTTAAACCAACCAGATTTCTGATTCTTACCAACCCCTTTCTATCCCCACCCCTAGATTTTTCCCTCTATCCGGGGTTAGCCAGCGGCCAGACACACACACGTAATATACGCACCGCATCGATCAGAAACGCCCTCTGTTCTTTTAGCTGGTCTCTGATCTTCTTCCCAGCAGTTTGGTAACGGGACCACCGGGCGCAGTACCAGCTATTTTCATTGGAAATGGTACTAACTCACGATGGCAGGTCTAACAAAAACTTGCGGTAAGAAACATGGCAGAAACCAGTGAATTTTGGCGGGATATCGCATGTAATTGGTGATGGCAATCGAGAGGTACTTTTTTTGCCCCGTACCCTATCTCTGTGCTATTGGATTGGCTTTTCTCGTGATATGGTGATTTGAAGTTCAGGTATGCGGATGGCCGATGACATGTGGTACACTTGGTTGTTTGCCCATTGGCAAACTGTAAGTTGGCAGCTGTGTACATGTAATTTACATGCATGTCAACAGCAATGTGTGAATGCGGAAGTGCGACCCGTCTGTCAAACAGTCATGACAGTACATGTATGTAACTGATGAAGCAAGCTTTCGGGGCCAATATTTTCCAGCCATGGACTCCCAAGTCGGGGCATTAGCTGGCAACATTTGCAATAACCCATCGCGTTTACTGCAGCCAGTTCAGGGCCCAGGGAGCAGCAGTGATTTTGGGGAAGTCCGTCCTAACTCGTCGTCTGAAGTCAGTGACCAATCGCCAAGCATGGGTGTTGCTGCAGAGCCGTTGCCATATACGACAGTCACTGGGTCCCGAGGACAACAGAATGCTGGTCAGAAAGTAAACAACAGTCATGACAGTGTCCAAGCTAAGACGGACTCGAGAACCTTCTTGACCGGTGGGCATCGCTACCAAGATGAACTAAACCAGGTGCCTAGGGTGTCAAACAGCCAAGACATTGTAACAAGGATGGAAGACGTGTCCCTTGACTCTTCTACAACAGCGATAAATCTTGTGACTAGTGCATCTACAGACACAACGACAAACAAATCTCATGATGAGGGTACATTGTCAAACAATCCTGTACAGAGAACGGACACTTTATGCAATAGAACTTCATGTAGTGGCATAGACAGTTCAGCCATTAAAGAAGACAGCAGCCACACAGCTGTCGGTAGTTCTCGTGATGGAGGAAGGAGCGATCTTGCCACAGCAACTCCACAAGATGCAATAAGATTAGAAGCGGACTTAACGAGACAGCATGGTGAACGGACACCAGGGGATGGAGAGGAAAATCCCTCACACTCGGGCACTGGCCAACTGCCTAACTGTGGCACGACCAGTATCGTGTCGGTCCAGTCCGAAGAATCATCTTTGGATCAGCCAGCGGTGCTAGATATCACCAGCAGCAACGAGCTCATTCTGAGTGACATTGAGCTCTCTGGGGAGAATCCCACTTCCCCAGCGACTATTGACGTTATCGACCTAGGTTCCCAGGTGCCCGGCAGCTCCAAGCTGAGGAGGCCCAAATCCCTCGAAGGCTGCCTAGATCTGGACACCAAAGCCCCACAGTGGGTCACCACCCCTAACAAGTCCCAGTCCCTCAGAACCACTCCCTCGACGAGCACCCCCCGGTTCCTGGAAGAGCTGGGCGCGACGGGAAACGCTGTCATTGAGCTGCAGGAGCCGTTCTTTGAGCCCTCGCAGGATGGCCACTCAGATTCCCAACATCCCTGCCTCTCCGGCATCTTGCAGCACGAACTGCAGTCCAGGGCATCCTTCACGAGCGTCTCCAGTCTGAGCACAGAATACTCGTCCTCCCTGGCGACGGACGATCTCAACGAGAATAGGGACAATCTTGAACCGGGCTTCGTGGAGGTCAACTTGCATAGCCAGCTGAGCGGAGGAGACCACTGGGCCTACGCCAGCCAGGGAGCTAAGCCCAAAAAACGAGGCCTGGCTGGGTTTTTGGCAAGGTGAGTCAGACACTCTTCCAAAAATTTTGGAAAAGAATTCCAAATATATCAGTCGATCACACTTTTTGAGTGCCATACCACCAAGTTCACCCTGCTTTTCAAACCGACATGTACTTGTAACATGGGTGACCGTATAGTCTACAGGTCCCTAATTTTGCCACCTATTGTCAAGTCCGATTGGTTTTCATACACTGTAGTAATAAGGGACCTGGGGACAATACGGTCACACACATTACTCCCCCAGCAACATACATGTACCGGTATCTGAACTACGCTTCCTCCTGAAATCCTTCTGAAATCAACACCTGTCCCTGTTTTTCTCAACTTGTTGGTATATGTGAAACTCATAAATTCTGATGGCCCAATTTATGAAATTCTTCCTAAAATTTGATACTCCCAATAGATGTGGTACATGTACGTAGTACCATAACGTGTACACTAAGTGCTTCCTGTCTGAATAAGCCGTGTAAGTACTTTTGAGCAAAAGGTTTTAGAAGACTGCACTTGTATTTCATACTTTTGATGCGCATAAAATGATGCTGTGCGCACTGCTGAAGACCGCGCGCTATGCTGACTGCGGTTTTTGGCAGTGTGCATGAGCACTAATTCATGGTACATGTACCTCATGCGCTCAAATTAATTTGAGCGCATGAGGTACACATGCATGCTCGGACTTTTTCGGGTAAGATTCTACAAGACTGGTTTTCTGGCAGGTCGACTCTTGTGAATACAGTGCCCTGTACTGTGGTACATGCTCGCCAGCGCACGTTGTCTGCATGGTACACAGGCCAAAACAGTAAAACCCGCCTTGGGGCAAAACTGGGATGTGAGTGGCCACTTATAAAAATCAAAGCTAAAACAGCTGGCAAAAAGCTGAAATGTAAATACAAGTAGTTCCTTAGATATTGATGTGCAGACCAGGTGTACAAAAAACTTAATTTGGGTCAACATCTAAACAAAAAATAGCTGAAATCAGCTAAAAGACTGAATTCTTACACCCCTGCTGTACTACGTATTCAAGATCGATATAAGAGCAGTGCTGTGAATCTGATTTCTAAATTTTATTTGCCAAAAAATTTTTGCTTTTAATGTTTTGAGACTCGAGTCGAGACTCCATGAGAGGTTCAAGTCGAGACAGGTCACAGAGACTCCAGTCGAGTCTAATCATTTACCCGTTGGGACTCAAGTCAAGTTGCCAAAAATTGCGACTCGAGTCAGGCTTGAGTCGAGTCATTGACTTGAGTCATTACGGCTCTGCTCTTAGCATGGTTGCATCTGAAACAATATTTTGTACACACGTACGTGTACATGTAACTGTAAGCTTTCAAATAATGCCCTACCTGGTGCAGTTCTTAGACTACGTAACTTCAGGGAACTCTTTGAAGACAGAGTGATTGCCCTCAATGATACAGTGGAATGGCTATCAGCAGGTCACCTGATCTTACAACCTGCAGTTGTTTCCTATGGGAACATCTGAAGGACATTGTTTAAGTCCTTCACACGATATTACCGAGTGATTGGCCCCTCGTTGTGAACGAAGTCGTCGCTTCGCACAGCAGTTCTGTAGTGGTGAGACAAGAGGTCCAAGAAATGTACAAGCATCCATGGAAAGCTTACTAAACTACATGTACATGTACGCTGCCAGATACCAATGTATAACATTCAGATCACATTTTAACCTTGCACTTATACATGTAAATACATGTACATGTAGTAGCAAGCCGTGTGAGTGTTTCCTGTCGGGAAACACTCCCTGTGTATTGTTTATTTGAATATCAAGGGGGAATACCCTTATTCTAGCACAGTACATGCATGTACATGTACAGTACATTGTACATGTACTAGTTCAAACGGCATGGACCAAAATGCAACTCCGGATCCATGTCATTTCCAAAACTTCTAAAAGAGTGACTTTGATCATGTAAAATACAAATCAGCACCTTCAGATTTATAAAAATGATTATTTGGGGATAATTAGGCATACATGTACATGTAATGTGTACATTTGGTACACATTTGGTTGGCTACCTGTGCAAATACATGTACGTGTACTGGTAAAATGGAGTTGAATTCATTTAAAGTTTTACGTCAAAGTGTTTGCACCAGAGGACTCGATTTCCAAACTTCTCTCAACAAGAAGGATAATTCAACTGATGTTTTTTTAAAGCACCTAAGAAATAACTTTTAAAAAAATAAGCCATGAAAAAAGAGCACAAAATTGACGGAAAATGATGAGAAAAGTTTGGCTTATCCTCAAGTTTTACTGCATCAAAAATGTATGATGAGTACAAAATGTTCGTTGCGAATGTCATATTTGACAGAGTTTTGATGACGTTCGAGAATTTTGACAAAAGATGCATTCCTTGGAGGGCTTATGAATATCGAATGAAAAAGAGGGCACACTATCTGGGTTTATGTCAAAGGTCAAACAGGCCATGATGCAGTGAAACATTTCTCTAACGGCACCGTGAGATAATGACGGAAGCAGCAAAATTGCCATGATTGGTATTTTGGACTGTGGTTTTTGGAAACGTAGTTGAAGAAAATGTGATCTGTCCAGGCGTAAAATGATGATGGTTGGGGTGCTTTTTTGCACTCTTTTTTAAAGCTTGTGTTGTATATATCGATTGTGATTTTACTCACTGTTTTTTTGGCAGTTGATTTTTTGACACTTATGACAGAATCGAATGACATTCACGACTGCCGACTTCAGGACCCGATTAATTGTGAGAGGTATTTTTTTTATTTCATGATTATGGTTTTAATACATGTACATGTATGTGTAAATATTATCACCTTTCGCCCAACGCTTTAAATAGCGCCTAAATCAGTCGCAAATGCGACCAAAGTTTTGCTAATGTGATCATATTTTCACCATCTAGCCGCCATTTGCGACTTAAGATAGCTTAAAAAATACATACAAATGTATTCGAACAATTTTGAGTATCCTTAAAAATAAAAAAAAGCAATGACTATGATTATGTAAAGTTCGTTCCAGAAAAGTAGA